AACTATGAACATAACTACCGGTACCTTTTACCCCTTCCTATATAAATGTAATTGGCCCGACGAGAATCTATCGAAAGTACACATTTGCTCGCCGCCTACTCTTCTAAAGTCTCTGATTGGAGTTTTCGCAATTTTCTTCTCTAAAATAATTCAAACATATCGTCCACTGCTTTACAAACTCGCACTATCTTGGACTTTGTTAAAACTATTGAGCTGAAAAAGGGGTGTCAAGACGTAACCACGTAAAAGAAAGAAGGGCGAAGTGATGGGAGTGTTGAACCTGTCCCTTTAACAAGGAATGATGTGCCTTTACCAACTGGGTGCATGATTTATTACCCTAACTCAGCATGTTAGCAACATGTATCACATTTATGTGGTATTATAACTGCACGAGAATACTGAAAATGACAAATTGGTCCGAATAGCTGACTTTTGTAAAGTGAATTGCCAAAAAACTACCTCCAACATTTTATTTCCAATAAACAGGCGTTTTAAAAGAAGGCAATGTTATCGCTGGGAAACGCATTTTAACCGCCTGATATTTCGAACTCACTCATTGTCGGATGCATAAATAGTGCTTGAAAAAAATTACTTTATTAAACATCAGGCCATATAATTGCTTGCATTGAATCACTTTGTAATCCACTTTTGTCAGGTAACAAAGTAAATGCAGTACCCGGTCCTCTTTCCTAACGTAACTTTTGATAAACCCCAAAGATTATGCTGAAAAGGGGTCAAGATAAAATATGTCTTCCTTTACCCCGATCACATATAAATGTAACAGCCTCATCGGAATTTATTAAAGGATAATGTTTGCGCGCAAATGGGTCTTAAAAATGCGCTACGCGGAATGTTTGCCACTTTGAAACTGAAAAAATAGTAATCGAACAGTTTACGCATCACATAAAAATGATCATGAAGGGTTTTCACATACTATTTATAAGACATATTTAGTCGTCGGGGGTCGTTCATAGGTAGATCACACAAAAGGCCCTTAAACGCCATGAAATACGTAAGCGATCAATTACTCTTTTGAACATATTACCAAGACGCAAACGAATCGCATAAATAATGAGGAAAACAATGTCTTTATTTTCGACAGGGAACCTCAATTACTTAAATTTCTAATTGAGAAGAATGCCAGAATGTCAATGGTACAGTTGAATGTAAAATAAATATATTTTTAATACATAAACAACCTCGAGTTGATGTCAAGAATGGTGGAGGGAGGATAAGGAGTGTCGGATTATCAGCGTGAGTAAACCACTTATGCGCCGTAGATGCGTCAGTTCGACATCAAAATTATGAAAAACAGACAAGACTTCGTGTGTGTGGGGGCATGCCATACATTCATGACCTTCACTTTAGGGACCATTCAACTCTTCCGTATCATTTTCAACAAATCTTCGCGTTTTTTTCCCAAACAGCCTTGGGAGGAGTCGTTTGATGCCACGTACAACTGGGTCTCTAAGCGCCGGAATGTAGACAGCGATAATGATGGGCGAGAGAAATAAGTGAAGGTACAGAAGCAGGATTCCCAACCGATAGGACAAACTGTCCTGTACCACTTTGCACAACCCCACCGCACAGATAAATTGATATATGGTGTTGTAGAGACTGCATGCCACAAAATTTATTGAAAGTGGTAGGGTGCACATGGATGCTGTCATCCAGCCACGCGGTCGAAGTAGGCTCGCCGTCTGCTGCTCTGTTGTGCCCGGGGGCGCCAGACCATTCCAGGTATCCAGAAGCTTCTCCGTTGGTTTGCTACGCACCCACTGGACAATCTTATAGCATGAAAGGAACAGGATAATGGGGCTAATGAAAACGGCTAGTCCAAACCGGACAAAGGTTCCCACGTAAGCAGACACCAGCACCCAGTATGGTACGTCTGTTTCACGGCAGAGGCAATCTCTGCCGCTCCATTTCACCAGAAATGCCTGACTTAGTATACTTAGGATGCTGCTGAGTCCTAAAATTAGGACGCATGTTAGATCTGAGAACATGGACGGAGCGAAGGAGTTCTGGTATTTTTCGGCAATCTGAATTGCCCTGTGTCCCACCATGAAGACGAGGTTCAGAACGCCGAATATGTAAGATACGTCAAAGAGGTAGAGGCTACTCCAGACGTGGCACACGATGGGGCCAAAAATATAGTCCGTGGGCGCGAATCGGGTGGGTATTAGGTAATTGCACAGACCCATAAAACTGCAAAGTACCGTAGATCCTGTGATAGCCCGCAAATGAGTCAGATAGGTCCTTGTTTTGCCGGTTAGGAAACACAGCATTATCAGAAGGCCAACACTTAGAAACAGACTCGAACAGCTCAAAAATGCAATGATGTTGGAGATGGCACCATCGCCTCGGTCACTTTTTGCACATTCCCAGTAAGCCGGTTCCATTTAAGATACGAAATGTAAGTGCGTCGCTGGTGCGAATTGTTTTTATGAAAATATATACTATAAATTAATGGAACAGTTAGGCATGATTTGAATGACTTACATTGCGCCCGATCAACGATACAGTCCACCCTTCAGCGGCCAATTTGGGCTGAATATTTGTCTTTAAAACGCTTTTTCTGCCACGGGTAATAACACTCTATTTTATACGTGAGCAGAGGGTGGCTATTGGTCAAACGTTCTCACATTGTTCTTACGCGTAGTGGCTTTGACTAGTTTATTGTCATCATCCTTCTGTCTGGCTTCTAACTTATCGCTACCCCCACTTAAAGTTCGTATCTTCGTTTGCGTGTATGTGTCCCAGTCCCTCAATTTCGTCTTAGGTTATGAAGTTGCAGACTAGTAAAGTCGAAAGCTTTAAATTAAGCAAAAGCTGTTTTAGCCTTTAAATGCCCCGCCGCCTTAATCAGTGGTTTTCTAGAAGCCATGTAAAGCTGACGCAGCGGAGTCTCCTAATCTGGAAAATTGCTTACTTTAATAATACCATTGTCGTTATAATTGACACGCAAGCATGCATGACTAATGAATAAACTCATAGAACATGATAAAAGAAAGTAAGGCCAATCAAAGTCAAGCAAATTGAAAGTGCTTGTTTTCTTCCGATAAGCAGCCTATTCTACAGAATGGTGCTTGTTGATGTAGAACATGCCAGTGCATTATTTAGTTTGCCAAGATGTTTAAAACTGAGAGCGACAATCTATGCTTTCTTGCTTTTTGTTATTTGCCTGCCTTTAAATCTATCAAAAGAGGAGGTTGGCGCATCCGTGCGTACTTTATGATGAGAGTAAAGATAACTTTACAGGTCCAGTAAACGGAAATTGCAACATCTTCGACTTGTTCTCTACGTTAAGCAGATATAGGAAGGTACTGCGATTCAAAATATATTTAGGAAAGCAGGCATTATACCGGTTAAGTGGCAATGCGGATATGAAAAGCCGTGTTTTTGCGCCTTAGTTCATAATATTAACAGATACGGAGATTCCCGTATTAAAGTGCCTGACATTTGTTTTCCTTTTTGGGCGTCGATCCCGAATAACATATGCTTTGTTTCAATTATATAGTGAATTTACCATTTTTTCTTGCCTGTCGTATCATTTTCCTTCTGAAATTCTGTCTGAGATGGTAACATTGATTTGCAATTGAACACATTAATATTTACCAGGAATTGAGCTGTTGGCTTAGATAGTGCACACTACTGCATATATTAACCAAGCTCCCGCTTGAAGATCCCAACAGACACAAACCAAACGACATCCGAATCATTCATAAGGAAGGCTTGGTTGCGCATACAACTATCCACAACGTCGTGTGAATAGCTGTTTGCCTTGAACACGCGTTGAAAACACTACAATTCGACAAAAGGTCCGCAGAAGTCGGCCACAGCCCACCGCTATAACACTAGTACGTAACAGCAGTTGTTAATACTTGGCTGGTTGCAGTTTAAGCCTAGTATTTGCGTCGTAGTTGTCACTTTCCTGATCACCCTAGTTTTTGGGTCACCACAATATTTGCGATGGACGGAGGGATAGACGAATACCTCCGAGCAATCCTCGAAGCAAATCCTTTTTTGCTCAGATGTTCAGTACCTTCATTCCTATTCTCGAAATGTTTTGGATCACTTTGAAATAGCAGATGCACATCTTGATTTAGACATCCTACTTACAAAGCAAAGAAGGCTTACTCAGCGTAGGGCTAACTTTTGTTAATAGAAGGCAGTTTATCCTACAAATACTGTCAAGCTTTCCAAATAAGAAAATAACGATAAACATTAAGGTTAAAATTGCTCAAAAAGTGTATACATTTTTTGGGACACCCTGTATATGAGGTTAAAGACACCTCTTTGAATGGTATCCAGGATTTTTCTGATACTGACAATTTAGCATCAGAGAAGAAGACGACTCAATCTCTTGGATAATACTTTTATTCGCCTTTCATTTCGACATTCATCGCGTATTATCACCAGAGGCATAGTCAGAGGGCAGTAATAGATACAGTAGACGCCGCGGAGCATGCAACATTTCGACATAGGCAAAAGACTGACACTCTTTCGCTTAACGGTATTGACTCAGGTTGTGACACTGATTATCGTGTAGTCTATTCTGAAGTTTATTCCGTCATGATAGGATGCGGGTTTTATAACGAGCTTCGTTCTGACTACCAGCAAAAAGTATCTATTGTAAAAACTGGCTGCTTAAGCACTGTGCCTTTTATCATTGATTTTGAATTCCTTTATAAATTCGAATATATTTTA